CTTGTGAAGGCAGAGCTGGGCTGGCTTTTGGGTTCATCGGTGGGGTGGGACGTGCCGTCCTGCCCTGTGCTCGGGGAGAAAACGTACCCGAGGGGATTCCCCCCACCCCAGTTCACAGGGCGAGGTCGTTTCCCTGTGTCCTGGACCATCGGCTGCTGTGGGGATGGAGGGCCCACAGCTCTGTCGTTCACCCAGAGAGAGCACGTGCCTCTCTGCGGGCTTTCTCTCATCTGTGTCGCTGCAGTCAATATGCTGAGACCATTTTATCTGCCACAGAAATAGATTTTGTCCGGATAGTGTCTTGCTGCAAAGCACGTCTTGAGCAGCCCATGTGGAAACTCTGGTTTCTAGCTGAAAATAGGTAGTGCTTTTAAGGTCAAGTGGAGTTCATCTTGGACGCCATCCAGTACCAACTTGTCTTTAAGAAGTCAAGGTTGCTCATGATTTCAATCCTAAAATTTCTGCTTTGGTGGAACACTGAATGTCTCCAATAAATAAAATATACAAAATTACCTATTAAGGTAAAGCATATTGTCCTCCAGATATTTATATCCGCTGTCCTGCTGTTTTCATTTTAGTGAGGATTTCTAATTTTGCTCGTAGTTGGATTTGTTTCCAAATGTGCGTTGGTTTCCCAGATCAGAAAACTGAGAGCGTCTTAAAGAGGGGATGGGGGTTGATAGCTCATGGTGCCAAATTTGCTACACCCTCTGTTTCCTGATACACATACATTCAGAGATAAATGATGGAGCGATTTGTTTAGCAGAGCTACACGTACATTACAGGGCTCAGTTGTCAGGAAAAAAAATGTACAGTTTTATCTGAGCCACCAGCATGTAATGCAGAAAATTTGGCTTAGAGGTCAAAACAACAGATTTAGAATGATTACTTTGGCATAAAAGTCTCATTTATCTTCTTGTTTGTTACAGGGCAGAGACAAACAAGGCAGCTTTTTGCAGAGCAGGAGAGAAAAAAACTTAAGGCTCTTTCTGCAGGATTAGTAATAAAATATATTTACTTTACAGGAGGGCCATGAAAGTAGGTTAAAAAAAAAAAGTCCTCGAAACTCATAGGGCTATTTCCTGCAAGATCAAGGTGTCTGTTTCCGTCTTGGGTTTGGTTTTTTTCTTCAGTTTGTTGGACAAACAGTTGTAGGTATCAAATGATTTGCTACATATTAACCATTTAAGCTAAACCACTAGCTTATACCTCCTCAGAACGCAAAAGATGCACGTGTTTCCAGGTGTTGATATTTATTATTTTGATAGTAAGGAGACCTTCGAAATTATACAGATTTAACTAGACAGTATCGCTCTAGCTTATGGTGGTGTTTTAGTGTTTTCTCAAGGCTTCAGCCAGCCTTACATCCGACTGCTGCAGGTTGCCTGGAGTACAGACCTCTTTAGCTCTGCTAGCAGCATGATTTAGAGCAGAAGAGCCTTGTACTCGAGCCACTCGGTCCTCAGAGGAAATTTGAAAGCTAAAAAAGTGCAAGGGAAGTGTCAGAGATGACTGTGAAGGAAATCGGTAGGCGAGGAAGGAAGTCAGAAAGAAAGAACTGATTGCAAGGTGGTTTGAAGGAGGGTTCAGTGTTGAACTATAGCAGAAGGGCCAAAACGAGGACCAGATTTTGGCCCCTTCTGGCAGAGAGGTGGAAACCTTGCATGTTTGCCAGGTTACAGAATTCATCCTTTGACATGTCAACATTACTGCATGACTTTCTTTTTCTTTCTTTTTTGTAAGCTCAGTTTAACGTTGATGTCTGCGTAAGGGTAGCAGGCTGCTGTTCCAGTGCCGGAGTTTGAAATTATGTGAGCTGGCTGCCTCTTGCTACCTTCTGGGGAAATACATTTTTAATTTAGTATTTCACAATGTAGTTGTGTTTAGAGGTATCAAGGGTTGTTTACCAAATGAGGCAGCGAAGCTATCGAAGCAGTATTATCTGCGAGGGTAGCCCCCTGCTTGGGCTAATTAGTCTTAGTGTACGATTATGAGGCATGGCTACTTAGAGCAGTGCAGCTCTTGGTGTTTTTGGGCTAATTATCTTGAATGAGCATGTCCTGTATTGGTATGTAACCCCTGCAACAACGAGGCCTAGGGTTTTTGGTACTGCTAATTAAGTCTACGAGTAGACAGTCACCTTTTTCTGCCAGTGTGACTTAGTCCCAGGCAGCAGGACACACAGCCTTGCCAAGCGAATTTCCCTGCAGTGCCTCTTTCTGTATGGTTGTCTTCAGATGCAGAAACTACCAGCTATTCTGGTGGTGGCAGAATTTACTGCCTGTAATTGGATATAAACTGAATTTGCCAATCGACGCGTGTGAGAAATGTGCTGATCTTCAAAATGGAAACTGCAAAGAATTGCCGGTAATCCTTCCTCAGCATCCCTTTAATGAAATTATCATGCCAGAGTCTGCATAGTAAACAATGTATTTTTTTTAGCAAAAGTAATGTCAGAAAATACTCAGATGTGCCTGGC